TGTATGGGGAAGATTTACTAAATCTGGTGCACTTAGAATTTGGTGCAGCTGTGCATGGTAGCCAATCAGCTTCTAACTTCAGCTTGTACAATTAAGCTTTGACAATACAACCTGGAACCTGATTGGTTTCTATGTAGAGCTGCACCAGATTTTGCACTCTCCAGTTTTAATAAATAAACCCCTATGTGTCAGAAGCAAGATTTCCAATAAGCCTGTCATTTGTGGGTGGCAGCAGCCTAAAAATCATTGTGTGCATTCTGCATTGCTTATGGTTGTTTCCGGTGTCAAAATTGGGGAACTTGTGTTAATTTGTGCTAATGTGCCAGTGCGTTTGTCATTATTTTTAAATGCATGACAGATGGAGATACCTCACCTATCAATTGGCCTCCCTGGTCCCTGTTCCTTCTATTGCTTGTGACAATACTATATTGTGAAGGATAGCAAGGCTCTTTCTTTTTTCTTTTATAAGGAGGCTAGTTTGCCTAGCCAAGGTTTCCTTGCCTTGACAGAACCCCATGTTTGTGGATTTCTCTAAAATTCCTGTCATTAAGGGCTCGTTCACACTTGGCTGTTTTACCAACGCTTGCCAAACGCCCCTATAGCATTTGGCAAGCGTTGATCCGGCATTTGCGGAGCGTTTTTTAAACGCTTGGCAAACGCTCCACAAACGCCGCATGCACGGTTTAGTGGCAGTTGCTAGGCGTTTGCCGAGCGTAAAAAAACGCCCCACAAACACCTATAATGCAGTTTGAATGGTGTTACCGCTCCGCAAACGCCCCACAACCGCGTCGCATCCACACCGCAAACGCCGGCCGGGCGTTTGCAGAGCGGCACCATAGACTAGAATAGGAGGCTTCAACGCCTCCTGACTCGACCAGAGGCGTCCGTCTTGCCACGACGCAACGCGACGCAAACGCTCCCGTTAGAACAGCACCATGTGCTGTGATGTGCAGAATTGGCACAGGCGTTTGGGAAGCGGTAAAAACGCTTCCCAAACGCCTCTCTGCCGCCTGCACACAACGCTAGTGTGATCCTGATGAAGCCACGTGGTATCGTGGAGTAACGCGTAGAGCGCAGTGATGTACTTCTGGTTAAACATTTCCGGCAGACGCTATCATTGAACACCCAGCACCTTGCAGTACACCCACAGCACATGGGAGACCAGCTGTATGAGATCTGCTATACTGTGAGTGTTCTCTTTTGGCTTGTTTTTATCTGCTATATGGAATAAACAGCATTTCACTAGGGAGGCTCTCTTTGTCTACTTCTCTATGGTATTGTGATTATCCCGGGGGTATTACCATCTGAGGGCATAAGTGACCTGGCAGAGGAGATCGAGTGATACTACAGGAGTATTATTACAGAGATCCCCAGTCTGGTGGAGCTATATTATCTAAAGCATTGTGGCCCTTAGGGGTCGCATGGTTAAGGTGAGGAGACACTTTAGCCATTTTTTTTGGATTACGATATACAGGTGTGGCATGCTAACACGCATCATGTTTGGAGTGAAGAATTGAAGCACTGACATCGCGGTGTTTATTTGCACATGAAATGTCAAGCACTTTGTTATTGCACTTTATTGTGGATTTTACTTTTTACCATTATTTATACTCCTACTGAGCACCTGTCACTTTCAGTTAGAGTGTGCAATGTTATTGTGTATTATTTCACTGTGCATATATTGTATTTTGGCACAATTTAGTCAGCAAACGCATGACCTGTTTTGCACTTTATTGTGGATTTTTTGACTTTAACCAATATTTATACTCCTACTAAGCACTTTTTACTTTCAGTTAGAGAGTGCAATGTTATTGTGTATTATGTATATTGTGCATATATTGCATTTTGGCACGGTCTAGTCAGCAAACACATGACCTGTTTTGCACTCACAGCACTTGGCACTTATATATTTTTTGGGGGGATTATTTAGCATTAGTTATCAATACCTTTCAATACAGTGTGGTCACTTTATATGTATTTTTATATCATTGCACCTACTTATTTAGTTTTTCATGTGAAGCGCTTCACCAATATTGTTTTTTTATGTCATACATCCTGTGGTATTGGGAATAGGTGGTAGCAGCTTGCATATATTTGGGGTTGCATTTGTTCATACCAGTGGAGCGCAGGGGGATTATATATTTTTTATTCCTTCACACTTGGCTGTTTTACCAACGCTTGTCAAACGCCCCTATAGCGTTTGGCAAGCGTTGGTCCGGCGTTTGCGGAGCGTTTTTTAAAAAAACGCTTGGCAAACGCTCCACAAACGCCACATGCGCGGTTTAGCGGAAGTTGCTAGGCGTTTGCCGAGCGTAAAAAACGCCCCACAAAACACCTAGAATGCAGTTTGAATGGTGTTACCGCTCCGCAAACGCCCCACAACCGCGTCGCATCCACACCGCAAACGCCGGCCGGGCGTTTGCAGAGCGGCACCATAGACTAGAATAGGAGGCTTCAACACCTCCTGACTCAAACAGAGGCGTCCGTTTTGCCACGACACAACGCGACGCAAACGCTCCCGTTAGAACAGCACCATGTGCTGTAATGTGCAGAATTGGCACAGGCGTTTGGGAAGCGGTAAAAAAACGCTTCCCAAACGCCTCTCTACCGCCTGCACACAACGCTAGTGTGAACGTAGCCTAAGTCATCATTTATGATGCAGTTTTAGTGCATAGATCAGCATGTGCTGAAAACTTGTATGTAAAAATGCAGTAGAGGAATATAGAAAAAAAAATGTAACTAAAGCAACACTTTTTAGTGGCCTAACCCTTTAAATTACAAAACGGCTTGTGAAGAAATGACATATATTATATAAATGTTTGATGAACAACTAATGTTTTCTTTGTGCCTGTGTAATTAGGCATGTTGCGTGACACCTACACAATAAAATGATACAACACTGTGAATGTAGTAAGTCAATTCTGACTCATTTAACATTTCCTGTGTGAGCTTAGCTTTGTACTGTACATCAAAGCTATGCCAATTCTTTTGTGTGACAGTTTGGCTTATGCTGATATTTGCATTGTTAAGACTTTGGAGAGGTGCAGATTGACCCAGGACAACAGGTTCAAGTTGTCCTGGAGCACAGCATTTTTATCACTCTGAGACTCCCAGATTACAAGTGAGTGTTTAGGGCAAGAGTTGCTGGTTAAGATACAGAAGCAGTCAGCTGAGTGATAATCTACTTATTCAGAGAGATAAGTATACAGAGAATCTGTCTATCCAAGCTCACTGCTGTCTGCCAAAACACACAAGGGATGGATAGCATTACACTTAAATGCTTAATGCCAACTGTCAGTATTAATGCACCACAAAGTTTGTAGAGTGAAACATCTGATCAGATGGGTATTTTGCTAATGGATCAAAAGAAAAATTGCACTTTTACACAAAGTCACAGCAGAGGTTAATACATCTTGTAGAAAGACCTGAAGATTGTAATCTCAAGCAATAGGTTCACTTATATCAGCCTCTTAAAAACCTAACCTTAGACCATTTCTGCTTGTAGTTCTTCTGAAGCATAATTGCTTATCTTCAGTGAAGTGCGCGGTGAAATTGAAGCTGTTTAATGTGTGCACGGTTTCACAAATTGGTCATAATGAACTCATATTTTATTTTTCAGAAAGCATCTTCTAGCTGGGTTTTACCATTTTACTGAAAAAGGACAAATATTGGTCACTAAAGTTCAGTCATATCCTTTTTTGAAGTTTTAGATATAGTGTGGAAAAGTTAGAAGCCCTTTCATGTTTGCAGCTGATAAACTCACGTTCAGGAGCTTTTCTGCGTTTTTTTTTTTTCAGCAGCCCCTGAACCGTCCCTAATGTTTTCCTATGTGTCCATGTACACAGAGTCGTTTACACTTGTTTACAGGCAGTTGAGTTTACAGTAGGTTTTTTTAATGCACCAAACTTGCGCTCAGTAGTAGATGTTATCAGCGTTTCAAACACCAAACGCTTGTAAACACGGCTAACCGCATTTATAAGCGTTTGTGTTTGGAATTTTTTTTTAACTCTTCCATTTCCAGATGCTGTCCAGAGCCTTTTTTCATCATGCAAAATGCATGCAAAGCGGTTTCCCGGTACTCAAATGGACCCGGTACACCATACTTTGAGGTTTCGCATGAAAGAAAATATGTTAGACACTGCTGCAATAATTTCTGCACAGAAATGAGCCGGAACACATCCAAACACTACAAAAAAAAGACAGCTATTCTCAACAAATACTACTCTCTCTGATTCTGCTCTCTCTATTTCTCTCAAAATGTCTGAACTAGTTAATTTTTTTCTGTTTTTCAGTGCATTCTGGGCATTTTCGAAGGTCTCCTGAGGTTATCTTTAAAAAACGCTTCTAAATGCGAATGCTCATAAACGCACATACACGCGGTATGCAAACGTGGCTGCATGTGTTCCAGTTGAGCAGATTTTTTCTGTATTCTTTTTCTGGTGGTTGGATTTCACCAGGACAGGAAGTGGCAGTCTATCCATCGAAAGGGAGGCAGCAAAGATAAGGGTTAAAATAGCAGACTTTGATCGCCCTCTGTGCCTTCCTGTTTCTTGTTCCATTCCCCCTTCATGTCTTGTCCTGGTGTCATTGTGGTAGAAAAGGAAATAATGGAAACATTTGAATAAATATAAATAGATATTTTTCACAGGAATCATTAGATAAAAGAAAAGGTTTGTTAGTTTTGCAAGAATAAATATACTGTAACAATTTTAAAACAGTACTAATCACTATATACATATGATGATTTTTTTTTAAAAACTAATATTAGCTGCTTGCCCACCACCCTATAGCAGAAATACTGCTACAGGGTGGCACAACTGCGCAAAATCACGTGTATATATATGTGATTTGGCATTTCCGGGCAGGGGCGTGTGTCATTGGTGGCTTCAGCTGTCGATCGCCGGTTCCCGGAAGGTAATTCTCCGCCAGTAACCAGTGATCGCTGACTATCACTTATGGGGGAGAGGTCTGTATGTAAACAATACAGATCTCTCCCCTACACAGATCTCTCCCTTGTCAGCTTCAGCACACTGCTTTATATTGCTCTGCATAGCAGAGCAATACAAAGCAATGTGCTGACACAGTACAACACACACACATACACAATAGTAATACAGCACACAGTTAACCCTTTGATTGCCCCAAATGTTAATTCCTTCCTGCCCAGTGTCATTAGTACAGGGATCAGTGCTTTTTTATTAGCACTGATCACTGTATTGGTTTCACTGGGGATGTCAGTTGCAGTTAGTCAGTTCCCACCCAGTGTCAGAATGCCCGCCACAGTCCCGCAGTCCCCCTATAAGTCGCTGATCGCCGCCATTACTAGTATAAAAAAAATCCAGTATATATACCACCATTTGTAGATGCTATAACTTTCACGTAAACCAATTAATTTACATGTATTGGGATTTCTTTTTAGCAAAGACATGGAGCAGAATGCATTTTGGCCTAAATTTATGATGAAATTTTATTTTTTTTATTTTTTTACTGGACATGTTTAAAAGCAAAAAGTCAAAAATATAATTTTTTTCTCAAAATTGTTGGTCTTTTTTTGGTTATAGCGCAAAAAATAAATAACAAAGAGGCAATCAAATACCACCAAAAGAAAGCTCAATTTGTGGAAAAAAAGGACATACATTTGATTTGTGTGCAGTGTTGCATGACCGCACAATTGTCAGTTAAAGTAACACAAACAATGGCCTGGTCAGGAAGGGGGACAAATCCTCTGGAGGGCAAGTGGTTAACTAGCATATATTTATTTGAAATAATGTTGCTCATAAGTTTGTTTATTTTGTCTGATGAAGTTTCACCTTTAAACCAGTGTATATGGACCTACCTGTATATCAAACAATTTTGCTGTAGTTACCAACATCCCCAAAGTTACTCATTCCAAAACATTGTAAAGGTTTAATAGGCGTAACAGGTGACTTTGACAGTTTTCGATTCTATGGGGACATTGCTCTCAAACAAATGTCCCCATCACCATGCCCTGAACCAGAAAGTAGTGAAAGTCACCATACTCAAAAATTTCATGTGTCAAAATTTAACCACATGCTTACCGCGCTATAGCTGAATGACAGCTACAGCACAGTTGTCCAGTTCTGGGAGGGCATCATATGAAGTCCTCCCAGAACGTGCCCTCCTGTGCGCCCCCAGCAGCACGCACTCAGCAATTTCCGTGATTGCTGTGTCCTACGGACACAGCTGATCACATGATGAGGTAAAAGGCCAATTACAGCGGCCTTTTACCACGTGATCAGCTGTGTTCATGGCAGCAGATCACCGAGAAAATACAGTTGACGGTTATTGGTAGCACTTTCCTCATGCTGTCACAACATGAGGAAAGTACTGCCAATAACTGGCAGCTGTCACAGAGCAGATCGGCACTGATGATCAGGGCACTGATGATCAGTGCCCTGCAGTGCTGCCCAGCGGTGGCCCCCATCAGTGCCACCCATCCGTGCTGCCCAGTAGTTGCGCACATCAGTGCTGCCCATCAGTGCTGCCAGTCAGTGCCGTCAGTCAGTGCTGTCAGTCAGTGCCATCAGTCAGCACCACCCAACAGTGCCACTCATCAGTGCTGCCTATCACTGCCCATCATTGCTGCATATTAGTGCAGCAGCATCGGTGCTTCCTCATCAGTGCTCAACAGTGACACCTCATCAGTGCTGCCTATCTGTGCCACTTTATCAGTGACCATCAGTGCTGCCTATCAGTGCAGCATCATCATGCACATCAGTGAAGGAGAAAATTACTTGTTTGCAAAATTTTATAATAGAAACAAAGAAAAACTTTTTTTTTTTCAAATATTTTTTGTTTATAGTGCAAAAAATAAAACAGTGGCAATTAAAAACAGAGGCAGCCGTTCCTTTAGTCTGTGTTTTAAACAAGGAAAAGAACGTGCAGGTGACGTTGCTGGAAAAGGGGAGGACGCCAGTGCGTTTGGGAGGGATCCTTCCTTTCCTAAATAGATATCCGGATCGGGCGGAGTCCTGCATCTTGGAAGCAAGGTTTAGGGAGGGGTTTTGTATCCTGAGCCTGCTACGGGTTGTTCCCCCAGTTTCCAAAAATTTACATTTCCTTCATCCAGAGGTTGTGTCGGAGAAGCTCCACAAGGAGGTGGCTTTGATTGCATGAGTGGTCCATTTCCATCTCCACATATTCTGGGATTGGTGAAATCCCTGTTAGGTGTAGTTCTGAAGAAGGAGGCGGGTAAATTCAGGATGATTCATCATCTCTCGTATCCGGCCAGGGGCTCGTTGGATTGTGCGGTTACCTATACATCATTCGATACCGCTGTTTTCTGGGTCTGTAAATGTGGCCAGGGTGCTCTTATGGCTAAAGTGGATGTTGAATCAGCGTTCCATCTCCTTCTGGTCCATCCTCAAAGTTTCCATTTGTTGCGGTGTCGTTGGCAAGGTTCTTTGTTGATCGTTGCCTGCCGATGGGCTGTTCCGTCTCGTGTGCCTTATTTGAGAAGTTTAGTTCGTTTCTCGAATGGGCAGTCAGAGATGTCTTCAGTCTTAACTCTGTTATCCACTATCTGGATGATTTTTTGAGTATTGGCCCATCTGGGACTAGGGCTTGTGCGATTCTGCTGGGTAAGCTGTAACATCTGGTGGCCTGTTTCGGCGTTCCTTCGGCCTTAGATAAAACGGGGTACCCGACTACAGAACTAGTTTTTTTGGGTATTGCCACTGATTCCAGTAACATGGAAGACAAATTGCCCATGGATAAACTGATGGCTTTTAAAATGGAAGTGGGACTTGTATGTGGACACTGGAGGATCCGATTGCATGAACTACAGTCTCTGCTTAGTAAGTTGAATTTCGCCTGCAGGATCATTCCCATGGGTAGGATTTTCTGTAGGTGGTTGGCTGCAGCTATGTCGGGGGTCCAGGCCCTCAGCCATTACTTCAGGCTGTCCGGTGAGCTTCAGGCTGATCTCTGTATTTGGGAAGTTTTTTCTTGGCTCTTCCAATGGCTGTTCTCTGTGGATGTGTGAGATGGGGAAACAGCTCTCATTGTTTAAACACTGTTTGTGTGGAAGTAAATTAATGTTTTTACTGACATTCTACGGTTTAGCCACAAGATGTCACTGTTTTTCTAACACAGGCTCAGACTTTTGGAGGATGGTGAATGAAGGGGCAGTGTGAGCTGAGTGAAGCTGATGAGATTGCTGTCAGGAAGGCTGATGAGAGCAGAGGAACTAAACAACATATACAGCAAGACTGCATGCTTGTTGGAGAGACATTTGTTCTGTTCAGAGTCACCAGCGGATGCAAAGCAGACCCGGGTCAGTAAGATCGTGCACGCACCTCATTTCAGTGTTGGCGCCTTGAGTCCAGACCTATAGTTAGTTAGTTAGGGTCTCTGTTTGGGTCAGGCCACAAGTGTTGTTACTGATTATTTGAATGCCTCTACAACTTAAAGTGACATTTCATATTGGAGAGCTGATAAAATCCCACAAACTCAAGCCAGACTGGCATTTTGCTCAGAAGGAATGCTCAGCCACGTGCTGCAGGACCAGTTATGGGAGAGGGAATACTGTAGATTTGTGTAAGATTGTAAGCTGTTGTGCTGCACCGCAGGCTAGCCCATACCGTACTCCCATACACTGATTCCTGCTCTTTTAGGGTAATAACAGGTAAGGTGTGGCAGCTTATTTGTGCCCACCAGTAGGTAAATTACTTCACTTTCTACCTTCATCCATCAGAAGGCGCTGTGCTGTGCAGCACAAGGGTCTCGGCCTTTGGGCTGGGTGTATGTAAATTTATTGTATGTTTCCAGCATTTGTGGTTGTGTTTTTTTGCCACATCTAAGTAAAATTCTGTTGTGGCAAAAGCTGGTGTTGGGGTTGCTTTCCTCATTCGTGACTTCATTGTATCCTGGGGAGCCCACCCCGGTACACGGCTTACAGATGGATGGTCCGGTCAGCAATACCGATGTGGTTCCGTTCACAGATGCAGCCAGTTTGGCTGGATACAACAAATATTTTCAGGGCTGCTGGGGTGCGGATCCATGGCCAGTTGAATGGCAAGCCGTTGGTTTTTTGAGGAACATGGTGCTCCTCAAACTATTTCCTATAGTCTTGGCAGTGGAGATTTGGGGGAGGCTTTTCAGAACAAGCGAGTTTGCTTCCACTGTGACAACATGGGGGTGGTATTAGCAATTAATAACATATAGGCTTATTCGCCACCTGTGGTTCGGTTATTGCGTTACATGGTTTTGGGTTGTTTGCGACGTAATACTTTTCTTTATGCTGTACACATCCTGGGGACTTCTAACAGAGTGGCCGATGTTTTGTCTTGTTTTCAGTGGGCCGAGTTTCGTGTGTTGGCACCGGAAGTAGAGCAACACAGGGTGCCTTATCCTCGATGGTTCTGGAAGGTTGCGTTGGAATCACTGCTGAACTCATTTGGGAATCGCTCAGTGCTGCTAAGTGGATATCCTACTCCAAGGCTTGGGAGGAGTGTTTTTCTTTGCTGGCAGAGGTAGGTGGGGAAGGTTCTGGTGTGGGCATGTCTTAGTTTTGTATTTTGTGTGTTGTAATTTTTTACAGGGTGTTTTGGCAGTTGATTGTAAGCTGGCAGGACTTGCCTTCTTACTTAAGTTTCTGGGGTCTACTGATTTCACCAAGTCTTTTGTGGTGCATCAAACCCTGTGGTGTTACTGTAAGGGGCATCATATTTGCGATTACAGACAACCTATTTCTTTCTCAGTTCTGTGATTGGTGCTGGACCATTGGATTCAGTCTGTCTGTCTACTTATGAGGTGATTCTCTTCTGGGCTGCCTTTTTGGTGGCTTTTTTTGGTGCTTTCCACATTAGCGAGCTGATGAGCCCAACCTGTCGGGTTTCTGGGGGTCTGCAGGTGGGGGATGTTTTCTGTTCGGCCTCAGCCTTGAGGTATTGGATACTTAATCCAAGACGGAACAGGGCGGCAAGGGTGTGAAGGTTGAATTGTTATGGGGGAATGGTCCAAGGTTTTCTCCTGTCCTCGCGGTGGAGCAGTTCTTCCGGGTATGGCCCCTTATGGGGGGGGCTTTTTCCTACACTCTTTCTTTGTTGTCTAAGTTTCAGTTTGTGGCTGTTTTCTATAGATGTTTGTCAGAGGCGGGGTTGAATAGTGGGGATTATTCTTCCCATTCCTTCTGCAAAGGGGCAGCCACTGAGGCATCCAGGTGGGGCCTGGTTGAGGGGGTGGTTAAGAAAATTGGCAGGTGGGAGTCCAAGCGATATAGAATATACGTCAGACCCCACCTTTTTTTGTAGTAACTGGGTGTGTTGTGTTTCTTTCTATCTGTATGTCTTCTGGTTTTCTTTATGTAGTGGGTTTCCGGGTTTCCGGCTTTTACGGTTCAGTTAGTGCACGGATGTCCCCTTTTTTCTTTACAGGTCCTCCCTGATGTCTCATCTGGATACTGAGGCATTCTTATGTATTCTTGGGGGGCTAAGATGTCAGGCCCAATGGCCAGCAGCTGGGTGTCCCCATTAACCAGAGCAGGGTCAGATGGATTGAGGTGCCAGGTATGCTTTGGCAGCGGGTGGTGCCCGAGGTGCATTGATTTGTCCATCTGGATAGTCCTCCAGATGTTCTAGTCTTACATGCAGGGAGCAATGATTTGGGTTTATGTTCCATGAGAGAGCTTATTAGGGACGTTAAATTTGATTTCCTGCGACTTTGTTCGTCCTTTCCAGGGATGATTATTGTGTGGTTGGTTATTGTGGCCCACACTTCATGGCATGGGGCCAGATTGAAGGGAGTGGTTGAATAAGGCCCATATAAAGGTGAATAAGGAGGTTGGCAGATTCATGACTAGGAATGGTGACCTGGTGGTTCGGCATGTGGAGTTGTGGAGAAGGATTCAGGGCTGTACCTTAGAGGGGATGGAGTGCATCTTAATGCTGTAGGCACTGATTTGTGGTTCTTGGGATTGCAAGACAGTATCCAGGTATTTAGGGTTTTGGTGGCGGGCACAAGTGTAAGGTGTCACACTTGTGCGTGGTGGCACTTGGGGTCCTTGATGGGGGTCTAAAAATTTGGTATATTGATAAAATGGTGGGACCCATCTCAGATATGGAGTCCTCCAGTTGGTCTGGTTCAGTTTAGACTGACCGGGGAGGTAAGGTTGGTAGGGGTCTGGGTGGCTGGGGATAGAGCCTAGCTTAATGGTACCACAGACTCCAAAATGGTGTGAGGAGGTGTTGTCAAGGATAAGCAACTGTTTTTGGAGCTGGATTGTTTATAACAGTGAATATTTTTCTTGTTATTTATGTTTTTTGTTTAATAAAAGGCTGATTCAGCCATTTACTCCATTTTGGATACTGGTGTCTTTATTTAAGGCAATAGGGGATGGAACTGGGGGGCAGTGTTATAGTGGGCATAGGCAACGGGTGTATCTGAACTACTTTAGTCAAGACATGCCCGGATCTTTGAAAGAAGAGAATAAGCACAGGGCATACATGACAGGGTGGAAGTAAAACCTGGCAGGATAGGGTTAAGGTGCTGTTGATATATGAAATTAGAGCACACTTACAGGATTGGAGGAGTAGATGGGGTGATGGGAGAGTAGTTGGTGGGGTGGAGTAAAGGGTATCACTTGCAAGCTGGAAATCTTCGGTTGAACGTCCCTTCCTCCCGTCCTGGTAATTGGGTTTGCAAGGTTTGGAGGAGGTGGGTGCAGTTGGGGTCCTTGATGGGGGTCTAAAAATTTGGTATATTGGTAAAACGGTGGGGCCCATCTCAGGTATGGAGTCCTCCAGTTGGTCTGCTTCAGTTTAGACTGACTGGGGAGGTAAGGTTGGTCTGTGGCCAGTTAGGATAGTCCCCGAGGCAGTGTTTTGCAGCTGGGGATAGAACCTAGCTTAATGGTACCACCACTCCAAAATGGTGTGAGGAGGTGTCGTCAAGGATCCGCAACTGTTCTCCCTAGTAAAACACACAAACACACACACGTGGGGCACATAATTAACCCTTTGATGGCCCCAGATGTTAACCCCTTCCTGCCTACTGCCATTAGTACACTGTGAGTGCTTTTTAATAGCACTGATCACTGTACTAGTGTCATTGGGATGTCAATGGCAGTTAATCAGTTCCCACCCAGTGTCAGAATGCCCGCCGCAGTCCCGCTATAAGTCGCTGATCGCCGCCATTACTAATATAAAAAAATTAAAAGAAAAATTCCAGTATATATACAGCCATTTGTAGACGCTATAACTTTCACGTAACCCAATTAATTTGCATGTATTGGGACTTTTTTTTAGCAAAGACAAGTAGCAGAATACATTTTAGCTTAAATTTATGAAGAAATTTCGTTTTCTGTTTTTTTTTTTTATTGGATATGTTTTATAGCAAAAAGTCAAAAATATTGTTTTTTTTTTCAAAATTGTTGGTCTTTTTTTGTTTATACCAAAAAAAATAAAAAAACGCAAAGGTGATCAAATACCACCAAAAGAAAACTATTTGTGGGGAAAAAAGGACATAAATTTCAATTATGTACAGTGTTGCATCACCATTTTATTGGACATGTTTTATAGCAAAAAGTCAAAAATATTGTTTTTTTTTTCAAAATTGTTGGTCTTTTTTTGTTTATACCACAAAAAAATAAAAATACAGAGGTGATCAAATACCACCGAAATAAATCTCTATTTGTGGGGGAAAAAGGACATAAATTTCAGTTATGTACAGTGTTGCATGACCATGCAATTGTCAGTTAAAGTAATGCAGCCCAGTATAGAATAAATTGGCCAGGTCAGGAAGGGGGCTAAATCCTCTGGAGGGCAAGTAGTTTGTTCACCCCCCTTGTCTAAGGACTGGATAACAATGTTATGGTTACTGAGTAGGTCAAATAGGGTCTTGGCGTTAGCTTTGGTTAGATTCTATGATTGTGCATTAAAGGATAAGTTCACCTTTGGGAACATGTTACATGTTCCACCTGTTTTTAGGGTAGAACATGTAACATGTTCCCATAGCTGTGCTCTCTGATTTTCTTCAAAATTCTTGACAATTTGTAACTGATTCTCCCTCAACAGACTGCAATATTACAGGTTTGGGACCTCAGCCTGTTCTCTATCCTTCACAAATAATGAAGCCTCATTGTCAAATTATTCCAATCATGTTTCAAATCCACCAAAGGAATTCCTTTTTTCTCACTTTGGCCATACATGGCTTTCAGTCTTCTTGGTGAACAGGTTAAGGTCCTTTATAATCTAAAGTTGGCCATTGTTTTAATAGGGATAAAAACCAGGGCCTAAGGCCAAAACATCCCCCCTTCTGCCTTAACCACTTGCCTACCGGGCACCTTTACCCCCCTTCCTGCCCAGGCCAATATTCAGCTTTCAGCGCTGTCGCACTTTGAATGTCATGCAACACTGTACCCAAACTAAATTTTTATCATATTTTTAAGACAAATGGAGCTTTCTTTTGGTATTGTTGGTAGTTTGGTGTTTAATCACCACTATGGCTTTTATTTTTTGCTAAACAAACAAAAAAAAGACCAACAATTAAAAAAAAAAAAGGGTTTTTCTTAGTTTCTGTTAAAAAGTTTTGTAAATAAGTGTTTTTTCTCCTTCACTGATGTTCACTGATAGGCTGCACTGATGGGCACTGATGAGGAGGCACTGATGAGGCTGCACTGATGGGCACTGATGGGCGGCACTGATGGGAACTTATGAGGAGACACTGATGGGTACTGATAGATGTCATTGATGGGCACTGTTAGGCGGCATTGATGGGCACTGATAGGTGGCACACATGGGCATTGATAGGCTGCACTGATGAGCACTGATAGAAACACTGATGGGAAGCACTGATGGGCACTGATATGTGGCAATGATGGGCCCTGATAGGCAGCACTGACAGGTGCTAACAGGCAGCACTGATGGGCACTGATAGCCAGCACTGAAAGCCAGCACAGATGGGCACTGAAAGCCAGCACAGATGGGCACTGATGGGCACTGAAAGCCAGCACAGATGGGCACTAATGGGCACTATTGGTCACACTGATGGGGCTACACTAATCATCAGGGCACTGAAACTTAAAGGGTGATGCACAACCCCCAACAGGGATTTTCATTGGATGTGCTCCCTCCTGTTAAGACTTAAGGAGAACTGTTTATCTTCAGCTCTTCTACTTCTTTACCTAGACTACCAGTGTGAAACATTTTTAGGGGTAAGTTAGTACATTTAATTCTGATTGAGCTTTAACTAGCATATTGTTTTAGTATTTTTCTACACTTTGGTATATTTAGACAATATTGAACCGTGTGTGGAATCCTATTGTTTTGTAAATGTCACATTTGGTAGAGGTTCATTATTTCCTAATTATATATGTACATTATATATTGACTATTTAGTGTTTACTGGTGTATGCATGCTTTAGATTTACTACCTCCAGCAGATAGATGTCTCAAAAAAAAACTTTAAAAAGTTTTCCCTTAGAAATTTCTATCCATATTGTTTGTTATTTGTACATTCAAATGCAAGCAGTAGGATGGAAATGATGTGAAACTGTTAATGAATAACACATGGTAGGGTTTAAACAAGGGTAAGAGTGTGGAGGTTTGTTGTTGTTTTATATATACACATCTTAGTCTGAGATTTATATTTGTACTCAGCTTTAATTTTTTTTATAACAAAATTATGCTTTTATTGAGTTAGCATATCTAGGTATTTTTAAAGTCCATTTAAAGTATACATTGTTTAGGAACTAGTCTTTATTACATTCAGAGGTTTGTTTCACAATTTTAGACATAAGTTATGTTTAATAAGTGGTCACATGCCATGCTAATTATAAATGTTAAGTGGAGGAAAACAGAGGCATCAGAGTAATGACATTAATAGAAAAAATACTTCTGTTTTGGCAGTGCTTGAAGTATGCCAAAAAGGACAATGCAAGGGTCTGTGTCAAATTTTGTTCTATTTCAAAGGCACCTGAGAATGTTAAGCATTTATATACAATGTGCATGTGAATATATATATATATTTTTTTTTTTTTTCAACAAAATAAAAAAAGATTTTTCTTTAGTGTTTTATCACTACAACACCAGTATGGAGTAGCAACAACATTTGTGCCTTCCCCGCAGAAATGAACGAGGAAAGATCTTCAATGATTAGAGAAAAAAATGACATGTTGTAGTCAAATTTTATTAATGACTCAACCATATGCATTCATGGGATAATTAACTATTCACAGGTGAAATTAGCTGATAGGAGTGGCTGTCGGGAACAAATCGAATGAGCTTTGATTGTATCAAGAAGTTTAAACTAGTGTCCTGTGGTTATCAGGCTATCAAAGAAATTTGTCCACTCTATTCCCTTAGTGGAAAAAAAACTTTAATTATGCAGTCATGGAGTATGTGGCAGGTCATTAATAAAACCTACTTATCTGCCTGTAGGTTTTGGAGTAATACTGTTATCTACACACCATCTAAATAAAGAATTGGTTGCTGTCCTTAAAATTATTATAGATTCCTTGTGTAAATGTTTGCAATAGATATTTAAAACTGAAGTTTGCTGGCTTCTACAGCATTGTGTGTAAATAAAAGATTTCTGTTTACTGCTCCCATGTACTGTACGAATGGAATTCTATTAAAAACTATATAGACATCAACTGTATTACCCAATCAATGCTGCAACTGTAGACAAAAATCCAGTGATTTGGTATATGCGTATTTTAATGTACATTTATTCATCAGTTAAGTGTATGTATATATTAAGTATTTTTATTTTATTATGTGAAAACATAAAATACACTTTTAAAGAATGGCCTATTCAGGCTGAAATAAAGGAGCAGTAACAAAAATAATGCCTGTATTTATTTTATTATTTTTGTGTAAACAAAGGTTTTATATTTTTACAAAATACATCGATCATTCATATCAGTCCCTGCCCCCTATAGAACATATGATCTAATGGATCTATCACGACCATACAAAGATACTACTAATATCAGTGGATGCCAGTTAACTTACTAGTAGGTGTGTAGTGTGGGAGGAATTAGAAATACAGAGGAAAAAGCAAACAAACATGGGTAAAATATACCAACTTTCCTTAGGCAGTATCTCTAATGCGAATTGCCCTATAAACTCAAATTCTTTTAGCAGGTAAGATTTATATCACACTGTTGTGTTTTATGTACAACATCAAATTACTACACAATTCTAGATGTAGCAACCCACTACTAGTATGAATACATTTATAACCTTTAGTTGTTAAAAAAAATACAAAGAAAGAAGAAGAAAAAAAAGAAATACTATTTAGTATGTGCATAATGCATGTTTTGAGTGGTATATTACACATAAAACTATTGGTGCACTTCATATCTAGTCCTACTGCATTGCTCTCTGGTCTGATGCTGTAACGTTTCTGTCTTGCATCTTTGCTTCTTTGCTTTAAAATAGAATGCTGGCCCAAAACTTGCTCTGCCGTCAAGTATCCTCCTGACAAATTACCAAAATTAGGTTTTATATGGTTTGATTTTTTAGTATTGTATTTATCTTGGCAGTCTGATGTCAGTGGTTGGTCAGATGCAAAAACCCACTGCTTCCTTAGCAACTATTGACAGCTGAAAATTGTCATGCTCATGTATATCGAACACTCTAATCATTTAGTATTCACTTAAATGTCCAAACAGCTTGTGTTTGGTCCAAATGTAAGTTCGGACTGAACACTCATCTCTACTAGTATGTGGGGGGACAAGAGCAACACTAGAGGTGAGGTGCTGGAGAGATGGCCAACCTCATGCCATCTTGTTTGACAACATCTGTGCTTTGACTGGCACATGTCCTCAACCTGGTGGTGCAGCAGGTACCCTGGATACTTTGATCTTCCTCAGCAGGCCAGAAAAGCGTGCATCCACTTCAGGCGGTAATATTCAGCCAGTGTTCCCCTGGCAGAAATTCAGCATCGACATAACCTGCCTGCTAGCTGCCTGCCATTCTGTCAATGGCTCTTCATGCAGGACATGTGCACCATTTTGTCACCATTTAAAGAGGCATCCAGAATGGTGCAAAAGGGATCAATAACACAATCCTGCATGAGAAAACATTATGTGGTGTAATAGACTGGGCACAGTAGTCATGAGGAAGAGGAGAAATTATTGGTGTACAGTATCATTTTAACCTGTTTCTATTCCTGTGAGG